ATACTTAGTATTATAAAATTTAAAAAAAAAAAAATAAAAATCAAGTTGAATCACACAGGGTTCGAACCCACAACCCCACGACCTTAGTCCCCATATAGCAAAGTTGAAAGCGCAAGTGATTAGACCGCTGGGCTACCGAATTTCACACTTTCGGAGTGATTTTTAAGGCAAATCGCACTTGTATTTAGAACAATTTAAAAAAAAAACAAGAGGGGACGCTATAGTCGACTATCAGATACCCGTTACTCAGCTAAAGAGAGTTTGAAGGAGATGGTGATCAAGAATATATATACTTTATAGGGTCGGAAATGCTTCCTTCTAGCTGTTACATACTTTTGCACGAATACAATATACCAGGGACCGTAAATAATCATTATTTGAGATTTTTATTTTAAAAGGCCCACTGAGGTTTTTACATATTTTAATCAACAATTTAACTGGTTTTTATGCACTTTATAGACATAAACAAATAACAGTTAATTTGCTTTCCAGATTTGTTGAAATGCATATACTTTGTGGACAAGAGAAAAAAGAACGTTATTTTTGACGTTTAAAACATAATATCTCAGTAGTCTTTTTAAAATCAAAATCTCAAATAATGATTATTTACGGTCCCTGCAATATACCCTTTTACTCTACGAGTAACGGGTATAATAAGGGTAATCGCCGTTGGATTTAGAAAAGGTCAAAACGAAGCAAATCGAAAGAAATCGCCCTAATTATTCAAAAATAGAAAATTTAACCCTAAAAAAATTTTTTTATGGTTACCTGCCTTGAGTTTATGGAAAATTTGTGATGAAAATAACAAATTTTTCTCAGTTCAAGGGCGAACATTTTTTTAGGGCGATTCTGAAATGTAGAAAATTATTGTTATGAGTGTAAACAAATCAAACACTCGAAGTCCTCGGTTCAATCCCCAGTCTCTGTACATTTTTTTTTGTTTTTTGTTTGCTGGGTGATGCTTTAGTTTTATTTTAAACTTTGTTTAAAAGGCAATATATATGTGAAAAATCACTGTTTTTGAATTATGTCACACTAAAATTCATAAACCTTGTTAGGGTTAGTGTGTCAGTTAGTGTGTCTACAAAAAAAAGTAAGTTTGTTTTAATTCCATTTAATTATCATTTACTGTATTTGATCACATAATAATTATCAGAACTCCTCTAAGGACCGCGCCTATTAATTGGCTACTAAATTAGGAGAGGGTCAAGTTAGGCATCGTCAAGTACTAGTGAAATCCAATCACTTGATGGTTTAGAGATTAATTTTTAGTTTTTTCGTGAAAATATTTTTTTTTAGTGCAGTTTAACAGCTGTAACCGTGAATTGGTTAACAGTCACTAGTGCAAAACTAGTAGCAAATGGACTAGTTGTTTCCGATGACAAGCATATGAAAAATGGACAAGTTCGTTACAAGGAAATGGACACAAATTGAACTAGTTAACTTTCCTGACTCAACTAGTATTTTACTGGTCCAAAACTGATTCCGTTTCCTGCAGGGCATATACAGATATTTTCCATCAAAAAAACAGTATTTTTCTCTTGCAAATGCGGAGGGTCAAACGTGATTTCCAAGGTATACTTTCTTTGTCGATATTGCTTAGAACTGTCCATAGAATACGTTCCCCCCTACGATTTGATAACCTCCAAATCGACCCACCTTAATATACATATATTCAGAGTTTCAAAAACTGTGAGCTGAGAAGCAAAATCACCTTTATTTATGGTTTGCTGTTACTGTGAGATCAACAGACTTTTTACAGAAAAGCAAAGCATAAGCAAAAATATGAAATGTCAAAATAGTTTAACATTTGCTTTGCTTCGGCTTTCGAAAGCAAAGCAACATTAAGATTACTATATACTTTCTATTTTTCGATTTTAACGGTTGGTATTTGTGAAATCGCGTGTTGGGTTCCTTGCGAGATTATTTGGGTGCAGTGTAAGCTTATTATGGTAGGCCTCTTTCTGCTTTGATATTTCATATTTAACCGGTGCACATTGGGATGAAAAGCCTTTTTTTGGCATAAACTCTAATTTTAAAGATACGGATTTAAATTTTTTTTTTTACACAGTATTGAGACTATAGTGCAATTTCGGTTTTTCTTATTTTTTAATTTTGACCACGCCCACATGAACCACCCCGACCGCGAAGATAATACGGATTTAATTTTTTATACCCGTTACTCGTAGATAATAATAAAACCCATCGATTTGTATGGGAGCTATATGAAGGGACGGTGGTAAAATTATGATATTAATATATGTGCATAATATCAGTGAGTAATTGAGTTGTGCAAACTTTCAGCTTAAACATGTAAGAATTGTACTCATTGAAAATATAAATAGGGTTTTTCTAAATTCGCATAAAAAATTATATATCGTGGAAATGATGAAAAGGAACAAAAATGTTTCTTCGGTAAATTAAGTTGGTTATGAGATGGACAATCTTGGATAATTAAGTTTCTTTTATAGGATGCAGAAGACATTCAAAACCGCGATACAAAATTTCAAATAATTAAAATTCATACTTATTGGACAACAAAAAATGTAAAAAATTATTTTCTAACTCCCCCAGTACACATATAAAAACATGTAAAGTTGCACGTTGTTCTTCTAAGCCGTTCTCGAGATATACCAATTTGAAGTTTGAGAACATTTTTTAAGTTCTTAACTTCAAAAATTCATATCGCCCCTAAATGGACACCAAAAAATTAAAAAAAAATCACAAATGATATCCAAGCTAAACTCTACGAGGTACCCGAGTTTGAAGAAAATCTAAAATTTCATATGCGCAGTTGAGAAATTCTTACCCATCTGCGGTTTCTTAATGTTTGTTTTTTGGTATCATTTTGGAATATCACATTATATTGTTAAACGGCAAAAATGTAGTAAAGGCTCGTCTTTTCCTAAAGAATTCGCGGTAGATTTTTTCCTATTCGTCTGAAGTTCTCCTGACACCAAACACGCATTCTCACGAAGGGTCCTCCTCTTCTGAAGAATTCGCGGTAGGTTTTTTTCTATTTGAAGAGGCTTCATGGAACTTGTTATCCGCGGGGGTAGGCGTAACTCTCTTTGGGCGAAATTCGTATGAAACTTGTGTTGATGCTCACGCAGTTGTGTTGATGCTGGCAAAACACATTTAATATGGAAAGACACTTTCGCCAGATTTTGAAAGGCAAAGTGTCTCAGGAAAAGAGGTCTGAGCAAGACACTTTGAAACAAAAAGTGTCAAAAGGTAACAGATATTTTTCTAACAGCCTGAACTTTTGGGGAGCTCTGGATGCAGGTCATCTCGCCTGAGCTGCTGGTCTGCCTTTGGCGGGTGAAACCCTGGGCGAGTGCGCTGCCGCTTGGGGTCTCTCACCGTCGAGGAGTCTGTCCTCGAAGTGTCTTGCGACACCGGTCGCAGGAATAACCTGCGAGATTTTCGTATACTTTAAGTTCTTCATGTGTTCCCACGAGTTGCGGAGAAGTAAGGGTCCACCCGGGCAGAGATCCGCCGAACCCGAGTAAGGAGAAGTTTGGAGAGAAAGTCGCCATTTGTCTGAACCCTCTGCTTGCGACTGGGCTATTTGTTGACTCGGGCCCCCAGCCAGGTTGACTATCGGCACGGGTCGGGTGACACCTTAGTCCTGCACCGAGTTGAGATGTGGGGGAAAGGATGGTGGTAGGCCGTTGTGAGGGAGGGGGTGTGTAAGGCTACTATGATAAGATGGTCAGACAAACGTTTTGTCGGTATAGCTTCGACGGTATATTCGCTGTTTGTCAGGGGTAGCTTCTTTTCTTCCGCTGATTCGCATCTAACCTTCCCGGAAGGCCGTTCGCTATCCGCAACCTGCGACTCGCCTGGTGGCCTCAACTGAGCCTCCCTTCGAACCATCCCACTAGTTGTTAAGGGCCAAGCAATAAAAATAAAATATAACCAGAGGAAGAAAAATTACAACAACAAACCTTTAAAAACAAAGGGCGGGAACACTACTACTATTTTGATGGCATTGTTTTCTTTAATTTTTTCCTCTAAAAAAAAATTTCTAAAATAATTCTGAGTATGGGGATCGAAAGATAAGGAGTGTCATTTCTAAAATATTTCAACAGCAAAACAAACAATGAACCCATTTGGCTATCCGCAACCTGCGACTCGCCTGGTGGCCTCAGCTGAGCCTCCCTTCGAACCATCCCACTAGTTGTTAAGGACCAAGCAATAAAAATAAAATATAACCAGAGGAAGAAAAATTACAACAAACCTTTAAAAACAAAGGCGGGAACACTACTACTATTTTAATGGCAGTGTTTTCTTTAATTTTTTCCTCTTAAAAAAAATTTCTAAAATTATTCTGAGAATGGGGATCGAAAGATAAGAAGTGTCACAATGAATCCATTTGGCTGCGATACCCCCCGGAAAATTTTCCAATTTCATAATTTTTCTATTTATTTTTATTTTATTTTGTCATTTAAAGCTAGTATACAATAAAAAAATTAATTTAAAGGAAATGGTCCTTCAGCTAAAAATCCTTGCATCGGGGAACATTTTGGAAAAAGCAGTTTAACTTGGGAATTTGCAACGGATTCAAAATTTTCGCATCCATCAAGGTACATTTAAGAAGGATTAATTTTGTAAGATAGTATAATTGTACCAGCAAGCAGAAAAAAAACATGTGTTATCATATAGTACCCTAAACGGACGGACAGACAGACATGGCTAGAAGAAGAATAAGCAAGAATATATATACTTTATCGGGTCGGAAACGCTTCTTTCTCCCTGTTTCATACTTTTGCACAAATACAATATACCCTTTTACTCTACGAGTAATAAAATAAAATAATTTAAATCAAATTTTAATTCAAGACATTTAAAACCCAATTAGACAAAATATTGTATATAATAAATAAATAATAATTAAAACAAAATAAATTTTAACGGATATCCATGAACTAACTAATACGTTTTTAAGAATAGTGTATCCCGAAACTTACAAAAAATTATTTCTTTTTATTTAATAGCATTGGCCCTATGTGACTGGTCTCAATTACAACAAAGACGGAGAAATTTAGCAAGACGACATTGTTCACCTCGAGAAGCATCCTCATATTTTTCTAAGATGTCTGACATTGGAGGCCTCGAAATTAGTTACTTATTAGACCAGCTAAATAAAATGTCTTTGGTAAATTCCATCGACATAAAACCTTTAATTCTTAAAGCCAGCGCTAATATGTTTTGTCAGTATATGTGTTCGGTTCGTTTTGATTACATCGATAAAGATTTTCAAAAAATTATTGAATTTTTTGATGAAATATTTTGGGAAATTAACCAGGGCTATTCCTTTGATTTTCTACCTTGGCTTATGCCATTTTACACCAAACACATACAAAAAATAGTGCATTGGTCATTAACTATACGTAAATTTATTTTAGATAGAATTGTCAATCGTCGAGAAACAAACATTAATTTACATGAACCCGACAAAGATTTTACTGATGCTCTCTTAAAAAGTTTGAAAGAAGATCAAAATGTACCCTTTAATACAATTATTTTTATGCTAGAGGATTTTATTGGAGGGCACTCAGCAGTTGGAAATTTGGTAATGTTGGCACTGACGTACATAGCTAAAAATCCAATGACTGGTCAGCTTATCAAGCAAGAAGTCGATACTGTTTCTAATAAGGGCGTAAGGAGTATTAGCCTTTATGATATGAATGTAATGCCATATACGATGGCGGTTATTTTAGAGGTTCTACGACACTCGTCGTCCCCTATTGTTCCCCACGTTGCGATGGAAGATACAGTGATATCGGGTTTTGGGGTTACTAAGGGTACAGTTGTATTTATAAATAACTTTATTTTAAATATAGACGAAGATAACTGGAAATATCCTGATCAATTTAATCCTGAGCGTTTTTTAGAAAAAAAAAATAATAATAAAATAAACAGGACCACAAAAAATTCAGACTCAGGTGTACAGTTAGACAAAGAAAAGTTCAACAATTGCGGTTTGAATAAGTTTGGTAAAGGTAACCAAAAAACGAACAAAAACGTTTATGATAGACAGGAATTTCAGCTTAAAAAAAATATTCCGCATTTCTTACCCTTCAGTGTAGGTAAGCGCACATGCATTGGTCAAAATCTGGTTAAGGGCTTTGGGTTTCTTTTACTTGCCAATATTATACAAAACTACAATGTTAAGTGCTCTGATTTTTCGAAACTTAGTTTAAAAAAATCAAGTGTTGCCCTGCCGACAAAATGCTTTCAGCTCTTATTGAGGCCAAGAACTTAATTTAAAATAATACGTAAGATTGTAATAGGAATGGTAATATAATGTGAAAAATGTATTAATTGGTTTTTATTTAATTGCATTTGATACATTTGGTTGTAAGAAAATATTTTGAATAAAAAAGTCAAAAGTAAAGCTACCGACGATAAGGCGCTATTGTCGATAAGGCAGTTTGTCGACAAAGCAGTGAGTGATTGCTAGCTAAGCTAGCATATAATTTAAACTTAAAGATACAATCTGAAAGATACAATACATACACAAATACAAATAAATTTATATTAAATCAAACAATAAACACATAAAAAATAACAAGAATTATTTCACATTAATTTTTCGATTGTTTCTATGGCAGCTATATACTGAGAAAACTTGAGAACGAAAAAACCAAGAACGAATCTTCTTGATTTCAGTATTTTGTCTTCTCACTTTTTTTAGCACAAACGTTCTTGAAATCAAGAATAAAAGCATTCTTGATCTGGCTTTTTGAGAATACATCATTCTCGATTTCGTTTATCAAGCATGAACACTATTGAAATCGTCCCCAAGCATTCTTGAAATTGTTCTCAACTTCGTCTCCGAGATGAAAAAAAATGAGAGAGATTAAAAATGAGAGAGACATTCTCTCTGGAATTTTTCGGCAAGCAACCGAAGTTCACTTCGGCTCTCGTCAAATGCTCGTTTTTTTTTCGGCCAGTGAAGCGGAGTAATTGAAGAAGTGAAGCCAGTATGATAGACGCTGACGACACAATTTTAAAAAACCTTCTAGAAGAACTAAATCTTTTGAATGCGCTGCCATTCCTCGAACGTAAGTATTAAATAATAAAATTAGTGGTAAAATAATAACAATAATAGTGATAATTAGCTAATATATGTGTGCTTATGTCGATGCTTGTGGAAGTGAATTTCTTAGAATATGTACTTACACGGTTATGAAAAAAAGTGACGCCACGCTAAATGCATCTATGTATGTATACATATGTGTGCAGATGTGCACGTGCTAAGTTTTTATGTACATGTGTGTGTGCATTTTCTTTTATTGAATTTTAAAAGGTTCCGTTTTAAAAAATAATATGAAAAATTACTTTAACTATATTTTTAGGTGCTGGAGTGAATTATGAATGCCTGGAGTTCATTGACAAGGAGAGAAGCTGTTCGCTTGGCGAATTACGCAAGTATGTACATTTATAATTAAACTTGTATTATTTATTGTTATTTAATTTATATATAAATCTTTGCAGTTTGGACGTACGCAGGAAGAGAAGATAAGACTATAAGTAATTTATAATTATTTAATATCTATAATAATAAATAAAAAATGAATAAAATACAACGAAAGTGGATATATACATTTTTAATTTTTCTAAAAAAATTCCTTTTGGGATCAAGAGTGGAACATTCTTGAAATCGAGAACGCCTATTCTTGAAATCAAGAACGCCTATGCTTGAATCCAAGAATATTTCTTCTTGAAACCAAGAATACGTTCTTCTTGGTAAGAGAGAAATTATTAAAACCGAGAACGATTTACTCTTGGAACCAAGAACGCGTATTCTTGAAACCAAGAACGCCTATGCTTGAATCCAAGAATTTTTCTTCTTGAATCCAAGAAGACTTATACTGAAATCAAGAATACTTATTTTCAAAAAAGTAGTCTCAAATCAAGAACACTCGTTCTTGATTTTAGTAAAACCGTTCTTGGCTCAGTTTTGAGCACGGAAATACTGAAATCAAGAACGTTGAGAACGGTTTTTTTTCTCGGTGTATGTTATAGTTCGATCTTTTTAAAATTAAAATTAGAAATTAGAAACTGTTTGATCGCTACGTAAACGCCGCGACTAGCTCAGAGATATGGTGTGTTCGTCCCACCAAATTTGTATTGCGTGACTGCCCGTGACCCAAGAAAATGCAGGGATATCCGATTGGGACAAAACGGAAAACTTTATTAAGTTTTTCTTTTCGCTGGAATTGGTTTCTTCGTCAGCTGGCTGTTACGGCTTGCCGGGTCGGCGACGTGCCTTCCTCGGCTCAGGATTCACTCTGTGCGTTTCTCGGCGGCGCTCCTCGACGGCGTCGCGGCTCTCGTTTCCCTTCGTGGTGCTTGTGGACTCCTGCGGCGTCGTTCTCCAACGGCGTCTCTCCAGTTCCGCCCGGCTTGTAGGACTTAAGAAGTCTGCACAACCTTCCTTTCGGGTCCGACCAGAATGATCCTGGGATCCCTGGGGTCGGTCTGGCTCTAGCCTGAGAAACAAATGTCCCGACAGGTCAAATCCGAGGATTCAGCCTTATCGTCAGTCCACCGTAACCCCGACGCCTGGCACAAACTCTTGATCCGCGCTTACCCTGCCGGTAGCTCGTCCTTCTCTCGACTCTGATCCTGTCCTGCACTCGTCTCCACTCCAATCTCTGTGTCCTGCAGATCTCACCGTTGCAGTCTCAGCCTTGGCCTAGCGTCTTGACTCTGGTATCTTGATCTGGGCGTTGAGCACTCGGTTTCTACGGTACTCTCACGGCCACGCACTCGATTGAATCCTATCACTTGTATCTTGATCTTGATCTCTGGTTCGTTGGTTGCACTTGTACTTTCGCTCGCGTATCTTGGTTGTCTGTCTCGAGCTGCGCCTGCGCCGTCCCTTTTATAGGCAGCGGCGGGGTCCCGTTATTTCCCTTTTTGCACACGGCTCGCTAGGGTCCAATGTCCACGTGTGTCCCGTTAGTTCCCTTTGCACACGGCACGCATCGGGACCCTCGCTGATGCCTTCTCCTGCTGTTGGCCACCGGTCGGATCGCAGCGATGCCAGTCTCAGCCGTGTCCTATAGGCATCTTGACCCCCGCGTATAGATCCACCCGTGCCGTCCTTGCTCCTGCTCCTTGTTCCTTGACGATTCTCTCTCCTCAGTTGCTGATCCTCGCCTCCGCTCGGAATTTTGAATTTCCGCGCCGCTCCTCGTAGAAATACGCCGCTTCTATTTCCGCAATCTGGCAACTCCGCTCCTACTCATAATCGCGTTCATCGATCGTGGTGAACGGGGTCGCCACTTCCATGTCTCCAATTCCAGGTATCGATATTTTTGCCGTTGCCATTTTCCATTCCAGTCGCAGTGTGACCAATAGCGTGGCCACTGTGAAAAATCTAGTATTTTTTCCATGTCGTGTTCCCTATCGATCGCACTATCGATCGACCGCCGCTATCGCAGCGCCCCCATCCCGATTTTTCATTACCGCGTGGGTGCCTTGAAAAGGTAAGTTTTGCGTTGTTTTCTTCGTTTTCCTCCAGCCATCTGACCATTTATCTCCTTGCAGCTCCATGGCGATGAATGCATGTATGCCCCTGGATGCTCCGGGGTGCGGATCCTGGCCCCCGCGCGCCCCGGAAGACGACTTGCGGCTGCAAGTGCCCCGGTGTCCCGCGCCTGCGGCAGCCTCGCGACGTATTTGCCGGCCCGCGCGCCTGGCTTTCGCGCCCCTCGGTCCGCTCCTGGCATGGCTGCCGTAGAGGTCGTTAACCCCTTTTTGTTGTTGTGGTTGTTGTTGGCGCTGGCTGCGCCTGCGCATATATTGCCGCGCGTACCCTCCCCTGTCCCAGAACATACTCGTCTCTTCTGTTCTAGCCCTCACTCTGGGGCTCCTTTTATTCCGCGCGGAAAACGCTGATGCGGTACCGGGCCCCGTTAGCGACGACCAGCTTGGCCCACCGCTTCTGCCGCGCTCTCCCTCGCTGCCGTCGTGCCTCCGTTGCCACACTCGGTGGCCACTCCTCCTCCGCGATCGGCGTCCACGGCTCGCCTCTCGCGGAATGCTGCCGCTGCATCTCCGGCCTCTCCGGCGGGGCACGTGTCTCGGGGCACGAGGCCTGCCGCGCGATTTTCGGCGTCGCTGCCAGTGGACTGGGCCACTCCCACGCCGTCTTCTCCAGTTCCTCGTCCTCTCCTCCCGCCCTCTTCCTGCACTCCTGTGCCGGCCATCTCCACGTGACGACCGCCTCAGGCCACGTCCCGCCGTCTGCCTCGACCACCCGTCGCTCCTCTGCGATTCGCCATGCCTCCTGCTGCTCCCGCAGCGGTGGTGGGGACGGTGTCGCCGGTGGTGGTGGCGGTGGTGGGGACGGTGTCGCCGGTGGTGGTGGCGGTGGTGAGGGCGGTGTCGCTGCCGGTGGTGGTGGCGGTGGTTGGGTGTTGCTGCCGGTGGTGGCGTCGGTGGTTGAGGCTCCCACAGGCGAGCCTCCTCCTTCTCGGCCCTCTTGAGCAGCCTCTGGACCGCGATCTCGGCGGCCGCCTGGCGCCTCATTTGCCCCCTCATTCGGGCGTGAGTGATCCGGCGCGCCAGGAACATTTGCCGCCAGTCCCTCGGGCGATTCGTGGGTGGCGACATCCCGAGCGGGATGTAGCTCTTCCCCTGCCTTGCCATCTGGAGGCGGTGGGATTTGAGCCTCTCCTGCTCCTCTCGTCGCAGGTGAACCTCCTCGTCCGAGGACACCTCCGGGGTGACCGAGTCCAAGCCTCCCCAGGTCTCGTCGTCGTCATCCGACGAGAGCGACACCACGTCTCCGGCGTCGTCCGGCATCTGGGCCTCCTCTTCCGCGTCGTCCTCCAACTCTATGTCCGGGATTTCGCCGCGGTCCTTCTCCTCCGACGGCGACGGAGAGCGCGACGCCAGGGGTGACGCGCACAGCTGGAGGTAGGATTCGGGATCCTGCCTCCATATCGCTGCGGGTTGTTCCCCGACGCCGGCCTCACGTGCCTCGGTTTTGCTGCGTTTCGTCTTGTTGGACATGTTGCTGCTGCTGCTTGGAATTTTTGAATAGGCAGATCCACTCTGCTCTACCCTCCGCGTAACCTCTGTTCTTCCGCCGCGCTCCTGTTCCGTTATTCCGCAGGCTTGTACCGGTAACGTGACTTGCCCTCCGTGTATGCCTCCTACGGAATTTTGCATCGGTTTGCGTCACCCGGTAACGGTAGTCGCGGTTTTGACCCTCCTCTGACCCGCTCTCGCTCTCCTGTTGTGTGTATGTTCGTGTATCCGTGTGTGTTCCATATGTTGTGCCCGTTTCGATACATCGTATCGTCCTCTCTCTTTTCCCGTTAACGCAAAGCACAGTGCATCCTCGATTCGTGGTCGTTTCACTTTGCTCACTCCCGGGCTTTAGGTCGCTTATGTGAGCTGTCTTTTCCTTGCCGCTTTCCTCGTGCCGTAACTTGCAGATCACCGGCGAGGTGAACTTTGTGATTTTAAACGGCCCATCGAATTTTGGGGCAAGTTTCGCCGCGAAGCCATCTACTGCCTTGGA